AAGCGACAGGCCGAAGCGCTGACGAAAGAGGTCGTCCAGGCGACGAAAACAGCGGGGAGTGGAGTGACCGAGCCTACCGCAAACGAAACCGCGGCGAGGACCGGTCTGGATCTGGTACTGACAACGCCCGCCACCAGAGCCACCACTCGGCACACCACCACGCGCCCGACCACCGCCCGCGCCGGGCCACCCGGGCGGGAGGACACTCGTCTGCCGCGTCTGCGACGGCTGCTGCGAAGGCTGCGACTGCGGCGGCTGCTGCAACTGCAGGGGCGGTGGCTCAGCTGGACTGGGCAGGGTCCCCTCGTCCGCTCCAGCACCAGACGACCCGACCCCACCACTACCCCCTCCCGCACCCCCGCCGCCGCCGCCGCCGCGCCCAGCCTTGGGGCGGCGGCCCTTCCCCGAACGAAACTGCGCTGCAGTAGCAGTCTCAGCCACTGCGGCAGAGCCGTCGGAGAAGGTACACTGGGCGGGGGCACAACCCTGAAAGATAGGGACCGGCACGACACCGCTCGCCTGGGCGATGGAGCGGTGACGGGTCTCTATCACAGTCAGGGTGTCTACAAAGTCAGTTAGGGTGAGGTCGGCGGGGTGAATGCTAAGGAAGCGGTCGCGGGCGACAGCAAGGCGGTCAGGGAGGCGGGTGGCAAGCAGGTAGAGGGTAGAGGTAATGGGCGGTTGGTGTGCTCTAAGCTGTGCGTCAGTGCAAGCAGCGCGCCAGGTCTCATCTACAGTGGCGGATTAAATTGCCCGGATGTTTAACACTTTGAAACGTATCGTTATGCAACACATGTTTCGAAAATAGTAACACCCGTTTTTTTCCATTCTGTTACTCGGTTTTTGAGTTCTGCTTCATCCGTTTCTTGCTTGGCGCGATTGTGACACTAACGGAAAGTGGGGTTGAAATTTACTACTCGACTGTCGATGTGGACATTTCCTACCGAGCGGAAGAGTAGATCTATTTTCCCCCGTCGCTCAGTGTGTACATCGTCACGCGCACCAGTTCCTAGCTTAGTTGTTAGTCCGGAAGCGAGCCTACGACCGCATCGCTATGAAGCCGTTAAATGAGAAGAAGCGCGCGAGGATCAGAAGCATGTTGCGTGCGGGGCATTCGACTAGGAAAATAGGGAAACTTCTTGGCATAGGCAAGAGCACCGTGCACGATTACGGTATGAAACTCGCTGAGGAGACTAGTCGCGAGGAGGTGCGACCTACGATGCCTTCGGCCGGCCGCCCCCGCTTAATCACAACCCGTCTCCAGCGCGGAGTTATACGTGCGATTACTAGCGGCGAGGCGAAAAGCTCTTCAGACGCGGCCAAGATGTTGTTGGAGAAGCACGATCTCGCCGTAGACTCGAAGACGGTCCGCAACTCTTTACGATCCGCGGGGCTGATCGCCGTGCATCAGCCCAAGAAACCCAGGCTCTCACCGAAAAACATCCGCGATCGTCTCGACTTCGCGCGGGCGCATGCCGACTGGACGCTGGAGGACTGGAAGCGGGTGATTTGGTCTGACGAGACGAAGATTAACCGCTACTGCTCCGACGGACGTGCGTACGCCTGGATTCGCGAGGGCACCAGCCTTCGGAGCCACCAAGTCCAACAGACAGTTAAGCATGGGGGCGGTTCTGTGATGGTGTGGGGTTGCATGACGTATGAGGGGGCGGGGTTCATGTGCAAGATAGATGGCAGGATGGATGGGCCGCTGTATCGCAGCATCTTGCAAGATGAGCTCAAACAGACCATCGATTTTTTCAAGCTTTCCCCCTCAGAGGTCATTTTCCAGCACGACAATGATCCCAAGCACAGGTGTCGTCTGGTCCAAGACTGGCTTGGGGAGCAGGAGTACGCGGTGCTGGAATGGCCGTCGTGCTCCCCGGACCTTAACCCAATTGAGCACCTGTGGGCATACTTGAAAAGGCAGCTGGGGAAGTACGAAAAGCCGCCAAGGGGAATGCTGGAGCTGTGGGAGAGGGTGCAGGAGGAATGGGACAAGATACCGCCGGAGGTGTGTGCAAACCTGATCGACAGCCTGCCGAGGAGGATCAAGGCAGTGATTCGGGCAAAGGGACGCTGGACTAGGTACTAGTTTTCCTAGAATCTAGTGTGATACCATTTTCCGGTACAAATTGTCCACATGTTCTCCCATGCTATGCTTAGGAGTTTAAGGACCATGTGTGGTACTACTTTGGTGTTTGAACACTGGAGTGACTGCTCTAACTGAACTTCTCAGCGTTAATGCACACCGTACATTAAGGCTTAATGTATACGCCTCTGCACTCATAAAAATGCCAAAAAAGGCAAAACATGTGGACAATTTAATCCGCCACTGTATCGAGCCTAGGTGGGCAGCGAGGTCAGAGAAAGTGGGGAAAGATGCAAGGTCAGGAAAGAGCATCGGGAGGATCAGGCAACCCACCGAGGCAGCCGGAGGGGTGGAATAGCGCTGGATGACAGCATCTAAGTATGCCTGAGCAGTGGTGAGAGACCTAAAGCGAGGGCGCTCGGACGGGGGAAGGGCGTTGCTGATGGCAAGCTGGGCGACAGCATCGCGAGAAAGCCAGACAGAGCGCGCACGGGCAGTGGCAGCAGTGGACTCGCGCTCAGTGGGTGTGGAGTCAGCGGGCAGAATAGCAGGGGGGTCTGGGCAGGGGAGCGTACCGTCAAGGTGAGCGGAAAGCGGTTCACCATCCTGCCGCTGGCCAGTGAGTTGGCGACGGAGGTCGGCAAGCCACGCCTCGAACTCCAGAGGCTGGCCTTCAGCGTCGAAGCGAAGCTCCGCCGCCATCAGGAACAGTGCAGTGCGGTGCAGGGCAGTGCAGCAAGGTGGAGTGCGGTGCCGTGCTGTACAGTGCGATGCAGTGCGGTGTAGGGCGGTGCAGTGCGGTGCCAAGCAGTACAGGGTGGTGCGGGGCGATGCAGTGCGGGGCAGTACGGTGCAGGGCAGTACAGAGTAGGGGGGGGGGGGGGGGGGGGGGGAACCGTACCAGTGAGGAGGACTGGGGCCGGGGCAGGGACGAGCGCAGGGGCCGGGCCGGTGCAACGGGGCCGGGCGGGCGCGACGGGGCCGGGCGGGCGCGACGGGGCCGGGCGGGCGCGACGGGGCCGGGCGGGTGCGACGGTGCCGGGCCGGTGCGACGGGGCCGGGCGAGCAGGACGGTGGCCCAGGAGGGGCGCACCGGGGCTGGGCGGGCGCGACGGGGCCGGACGGGTGCGACGGGGCCGGGCGGCTGCGACGGGGCCGGGCAGGGGGCGACGGGGCCGGGCGGCTGCGACGGGGCCGGGCAGGGGGCGACGGGGCCGGGCGAGTGCAACGGGGCCGGGCGGGCGTGACGGGGCCGGGCTGGTGCGACGGGGCCGAGCTTGTGCGACGGGGCCGGGCTGGGGCGACGGGGCCGGGCGAGCGCGACGGGGCCTGAAGGCGTGACGGGGCCCAGGAGGGGGGGGCCTCGACGCGGCCCAGGAGGGGCGCTACGGGGCCCAGGAGGGGCACGACGGGGGCCCAGGAGGGGCGCTACAGGGGCCCAGGAGGGGCGCGACGGGGCCCAGGAGGGGCGCTACGAAGCCCAGGAGGGGCGCGACGGGGCCCAGGAGGGGCGCTACGAAGCCCAGGAGGGGCGCGACAAGGCCCAGGAGGGGCGCTACGGGGCCTAGGAGGGGCGCGACGGGGCCTGGGAGGGGCGCGACGGAGCCCAGGAGGGGCGCTACAGGGCCCAGGGAGGGCGCGACGGGGCCCAGGAGGGGCGCTACGGGGCCCAGGAGGGGCGCGACGGGGCCCAGGAGGGGCGCTACGGAGCCCAGGAGGGGCGCGACGGGGCCTGGGAGGGGCGCGACGGGGCCCAGGAGGGGCGCTACAGGGCCCAGGAAGGGCGCGACGGGGCCCAGGAGGGGCGCTACGGGGCATAGGAGGGGCGCGACGGGGCCTGGGAGGGGCGCGACGGGGCCCAGGAGGGGCGCTACAGGGCCTAGGAGGGGCGCGACGGGGCCCAGGAGGGGCGCTACAGAGCCCAGGAGGGGCGCGACGAGGCCCAGGAGGGGCGCTACAGGCCCAGGAGGGGCGCGACGTGGCCCGGGAGGGGCGCGACGGGGCCCAGTGAGGGGCGCGACAGGGTATGGACGATTTTTCACAATTTGACCCTGATTTTCAAAGGGTGCTGAATTTTTCACCCTAGGTGACAGGGCAATTTTTCTGGACTACCCTGATTCCCAAGGGTGCCCCTAAACCAATTTTGGGCCCTGGATCCTACGTCCAGGATCACCCTAGGCTTTCTATATATTGTGTGTTCTTTCATTTTAGTGTCATTCACTCGTTCACAGTTTCGCCATTGCCCTCCGCGCTACTCGGCAGTCCCATTCATAACAACCTGGATATAAGCTCTGCTATTTATTTCGCGCCATTGGCCTTTATTGAGTGTTTATGCTTACAGCATAATTCTATTACAAGCAACCCTTTTTCAAGAGGCATTTCCTATAAGCGCCTCCCTTTTTATTTGAAACATGGCAATCCTTTGTTATGTTAGCAAAGCCTTTGCTGCACCAAGCGTTTTACAGCATTTATTGGATTAATCGAATTTACCCATATGTGATTACTAGAAACTAAGAATGGATCTAAAAACATACAAACCACTCCCATCACCCTAAGAATTGTGAAAGCTGTCAACAGGGATGCAAACGAAGACCTTCAAATGGATATCCGTGACCCCCAAGCCATACACGAATGACGTGTCGCCGTAGGAGTAATCAAAATCGACTTTGGACCAGATTTCGGTGTTCAGAAAATGGCATTGGGAGAATGATTGCCCGACCCCCCTAATCGAACGCCTCCTCCAGTACAGTACTTCCGACATGATAGAAAGTGTGGGGCCTAAAGCCCTTTGCAAATCTCTGTGGAAACACGACCCTTCAATGCAGTCGAAATATTTTGAGAGTTGGATGTTTGAAAGCGGAAATGCACCTCGTCACATGCTTAAAAATGCAACACAAGCCTTGGCAAGCATTTCCTCCAGAACAATCGTCACCTTCACATGAGTATTGCAAGCATTTCAGCAGGAGAGCATGTATCTCCCAGCCCCACCGAACTGCTTCATCTTGTCGGAAGATTTGCGTCGTCGTTGTCAGAATCTAGGAAGCCTTTTGAAAGTATAGTTGCGTCTTTTGTCTAGAAGAGCCGCCCTTGGACCTCGCCAGCCACACCCTCGAAACGACAGAGACAGAGAAAAATCTGTTTTTTTTTCTCTCTTTTGACAATGAACGGTGGAGGTTCGTGCTCGCTGCAGTTCGACCCGGCAACGGCTACCGAGTTCCTGAAGCTGCAGCGCGTACTCATGCGGCAGGACGCGAGCCGCGCCACGAACGCCGACACGCTGTCGTGGCTGTTCGACGCCGCGAAAGAGAGCATTCATGAATTGGTGGAGAGGGAACGCAAGCGCATACGAATGGACACGCGTACCATCGGTAAAAGCCGCCCCTCTCGCCTTCGCTTCCTCTGTCTCCCCTTTTCCTGTTATCCTCCCTCCCTTTCCGACGTCCTTTCCAGTCGCCATTTTTTAACTCTGCCGGAAGGGCCTCTTCCGCAAACCGCGCCCCTCTCGCTCTTTCTCTCGCCGTGCTGTCTCTTACTCTTTGTCCTTTGATTCAACTCAAAAGTCACCATCTTTCGTCATCATTTACTCTTATATTTACGTTTTGTTTGTTCCCGAGCCGGTATTGTCTCATTCGCACAATCTCCTTCCTGCCATGAAAGGCCCTTCTTGTTTCGTTCTTCGTTCCTCGTTCGCCCTCTCCGGGAGAACGTCCTTTCGTCCGTCGCGCGAAGATGGAATATTTTCGTCGCCCTCATTCGCCTACGCAGCTCGTTTCCATTTCGTGCACTTCCCGTCTGATCCGTTGCAGTAGATAGATACTTGTGACAGTGTCGACATCCAGCCACTTACCATCTAGCTCCGAGTTTGCCAGCACCCTCGGCTGCCGCTCCTTTTGTTATCGTCTTGCGGGAAAAGTCGGCTTTTTCCACTTGCTCCCATCCCGCATCCTCCCATACTTTCAGCCGACACTCGCGGCATCGTCGACCTCCTCCCGCCCCTCGTCTGGCACCGGCGCGTCTTCCGCCATCTGCTGCTGCCGCCCTCCCACCCTCCCCTTCCCCATCCCCATCCCCCCATCTCCTCGTATCCCATCTCCATCCCATCCCCATCCCATCCCCATCCCATCCCCATCCCATCCCCATCCCATCTCCATCCCATCCCCATCCCATCCCCATCCCATCCCCACAGCAGCCGACACTCGCGACATTATCGACATTCTCCCAGCCCCCGTGTGGCACAGCATCTTCCGTCGTCTGCTGCTGCCGCCCTCCCACCCGGACGCCCGCGCCGTCGTCGCGCGGCGGAACCGCGGCAACTCCCGTGCCTCGTCGTCGCAGCAGCAGCGCGGTGCAGTGGTGTTGGCGAGCCCTGAGTCCACGGCGGGCGAGCAGCACCGGAGCAACGCTGAGAGCTATGGCGCATCGTGGGCTCTGCTGTGCTGCGCGCTGGCCAGCAGGAGGCTGCTCCTGCATGTGCTCTCCTTCTCGGTGAGCGCTCAGCCCCATCCCACCACATGTGTGAGTGTGCTGCGTGCCCTTTGATTCAAAGCATAAGTCATCTCATGACACGTGAGTGTGCTGCGAACCTTGCACTGCTTGGCCCATATCGTTCCCTCCCTCCCTAGAGCACTGCTTCTGTAAAGCGTGAGAAGAAGCTACTAATGGTTTATCACCGAAAGTACCACTCTCTCTGCCAAAAGCACGTCTGGGCATCACCTTGCTCCTCCTCTCTCCTTTTAAGGCCACGCGCCATGCAGGAATGCACATTGCACCAGGCATGCATGATATGGCAAAGCTGCATGCAGGAATGCACATTGCACCAGGCATGCATGATATGGCAAAGCTGCATGCAGGAATGCACATTGCACCAGCTGCATGCAGGAATGCACATTGCACCATGCATGCATGATATGGCAAAGCTGCATGCAGGAATGCACATTGCACCATGCATGCATGATATGGCGTGGCAGCACGTGAGAGTACGCCATGTGAGAACAATGCAACTTGGTGCTCGGCGTTCGGATGCATTGGGGGCTTCGATTCTCCATCCCCATTCCTCCCCCCCCCCCCCGTAGGCAAGCCAGCCATCCTCTCTTGCGCTCACCGACCAGCGCCTTTGCTGGATCAAGAGCTTGCTCCACCTGCTCAGATGGCCCCAGCACCAGCTCGCCCTCACCTTGCATTCTCAATCCACCCCTCCTTGCTGGCAAGCGTGCCATCCTCTCTCGCCTTGAGCGACCAGCACCGCCAGTGGATGAAGATCGGTGGGAGAAAAAGTTTTTTATGCCTCCTCCGTTGGCGCCAATACCAGCTCAATCTAGCCAACCTCATTCGCCTTCATCGAGCAGCCCTCCCAGTGGAGCCAGAGCGCGCTGTACCAGCTCCAGTGCCCCCAACACCAGCTCGCCCTCACCTTCATTTCCCCTCCATTTCTCCCCCCCACTCCTCTCCTCCCTCCCACCCTTGCAGGCAAGCCAACCTACCGCCCTTGCATTCAGCGACGACAGCCCCCAGTGGAGCAAGAGCGTGCTGTACCTGCTCAGGTGGGCCCAGCACCAGCTCGCCCTCACCTTCACTGAGCCCGAGCAGCTGCGCACCCTCGGCCGCTACATTGCATGCTCGCGCCCCTCCCTCACCTCCCTCGCCCTGAAACTCCGCGGCATGGTGGACGGGGACGAGGAGCAGGAGTACCAGCGCTGGACGCTGGACTTTCTGAAGGACTGCTCGCAGCTGCAGCAGCTGAAGCTGGGGCGCGGCATGTGGAACCTCAGCAGCAAGTGTGAGAGCGCCGCGTGGGTGAAGTCCCTGAGGAGTCTGACCATCAAGCACGTGGACTGCAGCAGCGTGGATTACCAGTTCCTGGGCACCATCACCCCGCAGCTCACCGAATTCACTCTCTACGAGCACCGGCATCTCGCCCACGGCCCGCGTTTTGGCTCCACTCATCTCACCTTCTCCTTCTCCAGTGCACGCATCCTTCGCTTCCGCTTCCTCCACAGTGAGCTCAAGCTCACCCTCTCCCTCCCGCCCTCACTGGAAACCCTCTCGGTGATGGCCAAGTGGCTCGTGCTCGCCTGCAAGAGCAGCGCCCCTCTCTCTCTCCACCATCTCTCGCTGTACGGCCAGGACCGCCTCGTCATCTCCTCCCTGCGCCTCGCATCGGCGCGTGTCGCTTACTTGAACGGGCCTGCCAGCGACGAGGACTCCACCTCTCCCATGATCTCCTCCCAGCTGCCCCTTGCCTGGCAGCACCTTCCCAAGGGAAAATCCACTTTCTCCTGGAGCAACTGGCTTCGTGCGATTGCGCCGAAAGTGGAGGTGCTTATAGTGAGGCATGGGGTGCCTATAGAGCAGGTGAATGCGGTGTGGAGGAGCCTGCGCAGCCTTGGGATTGTCGTGGGGACCAAAGGGCGTGAGGATCCAGACTGGGAGGCAGCAGTGGAGCGATTCTGTGAGTATGGGGAGGAAGAGGAGGAGGATTATAACGAGTATGGCCTGTACTCTGAGGCTGTGTGCTACCGCGGGAGCGGGGTGCACGGTTGGAGAGGGGGGATCAACCAGAGGGCGATGCAGCAGCAGCAGCAGCAAGTGCTCAGGCCTCCTTCCATCAAGGCTCCAAAGTTGGAGTCCATTTTCTTCCCTACCCGCAAGCCCTGTGAGCCGCAGATCCTGGCTGCCCTGCGCAGGGGCTTCCCTTCTCTGGCCTTGTACTGCGTTATAGGCAGCTCGTACTACTGGGAGAGGAAGAGGAAGACGCTGAGAGATGGGCCTGTTGTGCATGTGAGGCACGAGAAGAGTGGGGTGCTGCGCTCTCGCTTTGACAAGAAGCACCCGAAGAGTGTGAGGGAGAAGATGCACAGTGTGAATGGAGAACTGGTGGAGGGGTACAGTGCTGGTGATGATGAGAGCCATATGCTTAAGTACAATGGGTGAATTGAGTAGTGCATGCTGCTTTCTGCTTTCGCAGAGATCTCTTTCCTTTCCCCTAGCAACAAGACTAGAGGACAGCGGGAAGTTGCTGCAGCGCTCCCCCCAGGCTTGGCACTTTCAGGTAGGGGCGCTTGGTTGTCCCCCTCTTTTCCCTACTAGGAGGTTCTGATCTGATCTCGCATCAACTTGTGTGTTTGACAAAATTGCCTCCCTATGCAAGACCAGAGTTCCGTAGACGTATCTTATTTCCCAACCCACCAAAGACAAATGATCTCAATCAAACCACACCCCAGCACAGAACATCTCTGTCATCAACACTACCCCAACCCAACCATCATTCAAGTACCACCAATTCTCTAGAATTCCACGAATGCCAGACCATCAAACCAGACCCTCCCCCCCTCCAGCCCCACCCCTCCAAGTGATAGAAACTGAGCTTGAGGCACCAGCCTGTTTTCCACAAGCGCAAGAGCCAAACAGCCACAAGAGGGAAGCTCTTTGGCCGTTTCAGCCTAGAGGGGTGTCTTCAAGACGAGGGCTTGAACGCCTTGAGCACGAGCTGGTGGCGCTTGCTGCCCTTGATGCTCGACGCGTCCACGGCGTACATGAACGCGGTGCCTGAGTACCCGATATACGCGCCCGTGGTTCCCGTTACTGCGAGCCTCCCCACCTTTTCTGCCCAATTGAAGGCTCCTGTGTGTGTGTGTGAGTGAGAGTGAGTGAGAGTGAGAGAGAGAGAGAGAGAGAGAGAGAGAGAGAGAGAGAGAGAGAGAGAGAGAGAGAGAGAGAGAGAGAGAGAGAGAGCAAGCGAGAGAGAGAGAGAGGCCAGGCAGACAAGCAAGCATGAAATGAACGGTAGGGGGCAATCAGTGGGTCAGCGGTATCTAACGGACGAGGCGTAGCAACTGTAGTGTTACTAAACGTTTTGAGTTGGGAACCGTATGGTTACTAAACGTAGTGTAGCACCTTTGGCGGTGACGATTCCGTTTGGGAAGTTGAGGCTGCAGGAGACCATGATGACGTCATCCCACATGAATGTAGCCACGAGGTAGTGCTGCCCGACCTGCCGCGCGTCATAACGGGCAGGAAAACAAAATGAGGGCACCGTCGTTGCAACAGAAAATTCCGACAGCTTCAAACGGGAGAAGTTACTAACTTCATCACAAAAATGTGGACCTCTCCTATATTGTAGGTATAGTTGTTCGTATAGCAAGGCTACTCCGTAGCAGACGTACCTATGCCATACCTACTGTATACCTACTCCGTATTTCTGATCCTGGAATTTTGGGATGTTCTCATAAATAGTAGGAAGAGAGGGAGGAGGGCCCAACGGCGGTTACCTTGCCGGTGTAAGTCTTGCTCTTGTAGAGGGGCGTGCTGTACAGAAGCAACGAGCCCACTGCAGATCCGGTCTGCACACATGCGACCACAGAGAAAACACGATGCGAGGAAAACGAAAAACGTCCGCTCGTTATAAGATCTAATCACGTGCAGGAAAAAATGTAGCTTCAGCATTTGTGGTAGCATGCACGCCGCCACGACTTGCGAGTGCAACTTACGGTTGTCATGTTGGTGCTGGTGGTGAGGTCTTCGTAGAGCACCACATTCAACCGCTGGTAGCTGCTGCTGCTGCCGCCGCCCTTCTTGTCGTCGCTGTCGCTGTTGTCGCTTCCGCTATGGTCGCTGTCCAATGGAGACACTGCGAAATGGGGAAAATTAAGAAAAAGTTTTCTAGATGAAAGACGGTGAATGAAACCAACGGCTTTCGAAAAAAATGTTGAAGCAGATGAGGAAACACTGTTTGCGCCTCTGAAAGGTCTTCGAGTATGAAGACAACACATCCGACGCACCACGGTTGGCAGCAGCGACGAGCGGCGCGGCGAGAATGAGCGCCAAGAGCGCGATCAGGAGGACGCGGTTTTCGAGAGCCATGGCGAGGAAACCTTCCTGAGTGGGCGAACGGCGGAAGAGCGCGAAGCGTGAAGGGAAGAAAAGCCTTGGAAAAAGCAGGCTTGAAATTGGCTGGGAATGCAAAATAGTGACGAGGAGCGGGCTAAAATGCTGGACATTGGAGGCGCGCGGAAGCTGCTGCGCACATTTGCGCTTGAAGAAAATTGTACCGGGGGTTGGGGGGGAACTGGTTTTCGCAGATGGTGGAAGAGGGAGAAGAAGAACAAAATTGCGGCAGCAGCATGGATGACACGCGGGCGAATACGACTGGCGTGGCGACAAGTCGCAAGGGGCTGAGGTGATCGCGCGACGAGAATTGACCACTGCCGAGAGCCCAATCTTCCGTCTGTGTAGACGAAATTCGTCGCCTGCCAACCACACGAACGATGATACGGTATCCCGTGTACGATCGACTCAACAAGCGGCGCGATAAGGGCGTGTCCAGCTCGTTCATTTTTCCCTAACACGCACTTTTTACGTCTTCTGTACATGTTCGGAAAATTGTTACGGGAAATGTAGATGTTGCGAGGCTCACCTTTCGACCGCGGAGAGCATGCTTGGCTCAGCCTGTCCAGCCTTTGACAAGACGAATGCGCTGCGCAGCGACAACAAAAGTGCTTGGCGAAAGAAACAGAGTTACGGTATTAAGAGCTTGGAAAACGAGGCCTCGCTGTTTTTGCCATGGCATTGACGAATCTTCCCGAAAATGACGAAGTCGTGTGTTTACTGTTCGCCAGCCAGGATCTGCCATTTCTGCCGGGAATTCATTTCGGGCACGATTTCCAGCCGCTTTCGAAACTTGCGCAACACGACTGCTGGCACGCTTCGAGAGCGTCCGCTAAGAACGTGCACTTTTCGAGCGAGTCCTAAAAGACATGGAATTTCGGGTTACCACACGCCTATTCTGTACTGGTCACGTCAACTGAATAGTATACGAAGGCGCTGGACACGTCCTAAGAGGCTACGATCCGGAAAGTTCGTCAGAAGGCTCGTTGCGCATGATGAACCACTGGCTGCGTTCTGCAGGCAAAAAAGGAAAGTGCAGATTACATCAGAGCACCTTCCTAAAGCGAGATTTTTTGCTTCGAATAGAGGGTCAGCCCGCAAATTTTCGCCCAAACCTGGCACAACGTACCCGAACCTAGTTACGTCGACATGCCTACAGAACAGGTCCATCTACGGATGACATCTACGTCAGGGAAACACCTCCGTCACTTCCCTCCATGACAAATTTGACGCAAACTTGACGCAATGCTGACGTTCGCTTAATCGCGAAGTCCACCTTGCGTGTGGCGTTACATCAACCGCAAGGGTGTACTAGGCCTCCACACCCCAAAAATACAACCGCCACCACTTTACCCCCCTCGCAAGCTTGGGCCTGCCCTGCAAAAAAACACCAGCTGAACAAACACATCGCCAACGAGTCATATCTCAGCTGAACCTTTTTTCGTCATTTTTCCCCGGATAATTTCTCTCCTGCCCCAGGGCAACAGCTTTTTTTTGCGCAATTTCGAAATTATCTCCTCTCTCCTTTCGCTTGCGCTTTCCACAATTTGGTCGCGTGGCTTCCAAGCGAGGTTCGAAAATTGCACCTGGTTTGGGTGGTAACCAGTGCTCTTGAAAAGTCGCTTGAGGAGCTTCTTCAATGTCGACGTCGACGTCAACGTCAAATGCCTGTAGAACACAACCACGAAGTTGCAATATAGTAGTTAAGTATTTTTTAATTGTGTATATTTACCCCATAATGGGTGGATGTGAGGAAGTGGTATTTGCTTATCCCAAGTTCTAAATCATTAAAGTGTACACTGCCATAACGGGGTGCTATAATGAGGTTGCCGAGCATTCTGCCACGAAAATCATATTGCGTCATCCAAATGTGGCCCTCTAAGAAGTCGCATGCAATTTGTTCACTTCATGGATTCAAGCCTGAAAATGCATGCTCCGAGCCATTTTGCTATCACCCCTCTTAGCTCTGCCGGGTCTCGACAATACGTGAACTCCAAGCCCAGCTATACTCATGCCCTCAATTGTTTTGATGTTGCCTTATTGAATAGTTTACTCTCTACTATTGATATTCGGAACTCGCTGATTGCATCTCATTACAAATGGTCTAACTAACGATCCTCAGCCTAGCGTTCGTTCCGCTGCTATGCCATTGTTTAGGGGGCTGACGCCCTGCTCTTACTGCATACCCGCTATCCTGGTATTCTAATCTATAAAGAAATGAGAAAATATCCCTATGAAGTTGCATTAGCACTATAACGGCTTTTGCTAATGCTGATAATACTTCAAACGCGCAACCTGCAGATCAACAAGAATGAATGCTGGCCGCACCAAGCCCTTGCTGGTACGTGGTGCTGTATTACGCGAAGTGGCATTAGCATCAACAAAATTCTATTATATTGTGATGCTACTTCATTTAATGCGCCCTAAATATGGTGCACCCTTCGTCATTAACACTAAGTACTACCGAAGAAAGGGCAGCAACACTTGACGAGGAGCGTCTTATCAACGAGTTGTTTGAGCAAGAATTGGCACATTTGCGAGCCGAGCGAGCTCAAACTGAATCTACAATATATGCATTGCGAGCCGATATAAGCGACTCGCGTCGCCCGACAACGACGCCAACGGCAAATCAGCAACAATAGCAAATTAGCGTTACAAAATCTCAGCGAGAACCAGTGGTTTTACCTGAGGGCTCGACGAACGAAACGAACCCCACGATTGGACAAGCTGAAATTGACGAAAGAGCGAACGTCAACGACATCGCCCCAAATACCTTGCGTGCCGACTAAAAAACTACCAATGTCAGCATGGCACCCGGCATACTCAGAACACAGAGGCCGCCCATTTTTAACCGAAGCATGCAAGGAAGTCTGTCTGTTACAAGAGGGATTTTATTTCTCAACATTTTTTACGACTGCAACCTAGTCGTCGACGACGCCCATAAGATCTGTTACACTATGTTACTATTACGTAGATTGGCGACGGATTGGTGATAGTAAGTTGTATAGTCGCGCAAGCATCCGGATACGACGCCACACGCGATCGGGCGATTCTACATGACCAATCACAGATCATAAGTTATTGCAAGGCGTACGAGTACAGCACGTATGGTGCGCGTGAATTCGTCGCCGCTTTGAACACGTCAGCATTAGCAGCCAAGTGTGCGATCCTTCGCACTTGGCGCCAAATCAGACAGATTCAAGACTGTACGACCACCTTCCATGGATTATGCCATCAAATCGGTTGCATGCACCCAGAAGAGAAGTTTGACATATACATTGGCGGAC